CCCCAAAACCCCAAAACCCCAAAACCCCAAAACCCCAATAAAATTTGAGAAACTTGAAAGAAATTTTATAAATTTTTCTTATTATCAACATTTTAAACATGAACTCGACTTACAGCGTTAAAAATCCAATAGTAAGAATAAGTGCAGGTAATGTTACTAAAATTACCTACAGATTTAACATGATTTGAGGAGTACAAAGAAGAACAGCAGGTCGAAAAGGTTAATTCACAATTCAATTGCCCTTGTGCCGTTTGTCATACCCAACAAATAAAAATGGATGAGGACTTCAAAGAGACCCAAAATAAAATTGTGAGTAGAAACATTTTTACACTAAAATCTGTCCTGAATTTCACTCTTTGATTCTTTATAAAATATTCCCTGATACTTATACCTTGACTCATTTTAGGAAATCGATGAGCAGCAATTCGAGAAAGGCGAAAGTAAGACCTGATCCAACATTTTATAGACCTTAATACAAAGGATAAATCTAAAATTCTTAAATAAGACATATTCATGGCTCCTCCAGAAGCTTGGTCCGGTGCCATCCAGCCTTCATATTGCTAAGAGGTAGATTCTCATTTCCTATCTCCTTCCTAACTTCCATATCTAGCATGAAAAATGTTAAAGGGGCTAGGAATGGCCTTGATATCAGTATACCAGAAACCCTAATCTTCAGAAAAGGAAAGCTAAAATGAATGATCACTACCAACAAAGCAGGCAGGATTTGGGTCAATCCAAACATCAAGGAGACAAGTTACCTCAACATTAGACTTTTGTTCAAGAATTTTATGAAGAAGAAATGGAAAAATGTATCTTCAGGCCCTGGTGTCTACAATGGCCTCAAGTTCGAAGACCGCCTGTGTAAAAAGCACCAGCTTGAAAGAGAAGCCCTACTTAGAACCAAACCAATTAAAAGTACGAAATGTTCTCTTATTCGATAGGCTCTCCCAGGATTAACATCCTGATCGATACAGATGAGAAAGATAAAGGTCACAGAAGGAGAAGGTCAAGAAAGAAGTCCAGAGCTCGACCAAAGACTGCCAAAACTACTAGATTACCTAGGTATCTACAACCAATCCATGGCAAAGCAGTGAAGGACGACCACTATGATATCTCTAATTTCTACTACAGAGATATGCTTTTAGTACGCCTTAAAGAAAATCAGAGAGCTAAGATTTTGAACGAGAAACAATTCACAAATGTATTTTTACTCCGAAATAACGACCCGTTTTGGAAGACCCTTGACTATCTCCAAGCTAATGTTAAGGCTCAGGTAGGCCTTGGCACACCTATCGTTATTAAGTTCTACGCTGATTTGAACAGTGTCCACCCAGATCATCCTGATAGGCTCCATTACGACTACACAAAGTTTGGTAAAGATGAGGACATCACAAACGAATTTGTATATTGCCTCAAGTTATGATATAAAATATGAGAATATCTCCAAAGAGTTCATCTATATGAAATCCTTAAGATGAGAGCCCAATTCTCTAAAGACGATGACGGCAAGATCTTCCTTATCTATGTCAAAGACCTTCACCTGAGAAAAATCCAATTTGACTTTGAACGTCATCTAATTCAGGAAGAGGTCCATAATATGAACCAGAAAGCTAAGGATAAACTTGTGAGCGAGATTAATGAGCATCTTGATAACACTAAGTCTCAGAAATAAGATTTATTCTATCTATGACGTAATGAACAAGCACTACGGAGGGATTTAAAACAAGAATGGGCGTGAATGAACTCGAGGATAAGGATTACCTAGAGACTGACCAAGACAAGATAGCAGAAGATGCGTACAAAGCTCTTCGGCCAGAATCCCCCTACAAATTAGGCGAACTTGTCAATAAGCAGAAATTCAAGGACAAAAAGTATATCAACTCCAGAAGGATAGAGGAGAAGCAACTGGGCGGTAGATGTATGTTCCGAAGTCATGCTATCAAGAATCCAGAAGAATTAAGGCAGGCCATTCTTAAGGGAGAGGTTTATATCAGCTCTCCTAAAAAGTTCCTTAACAAGAAGGACTTCGCAAACCTCAAAGAAGACGCCCGCCTGATGCACCAATATTATTCAACTAGTGTTAACGCTCCTGTTGAGTTAAATAAGGAATTCAGGCTCATGAAGAAGGATAATGTCAATCTTAAGAAAATCAAGAAATCTATCTCCACTGGATTTTTAGGCAACCAAACGAAGAAAGATAAATTAATGGTCCAAATGTCAAATAAAATTATTGATTTCTGCCATGGAGGTTTAGACATGAAAAAGAAATCTTTAAAGCCCTCTAAGAGAAATAGACCTTCGAGTTTTGGTAAGAATACCCCAGACAGGAGTTTCCATCAAAATCCTAGTACAAAAATGATGACACATTTCAAAAAGGGGCAAAGAAACAGACCAAAATCAGGAAGGGTCAGCTCTATTCACCAACGGAATAAAGGTTTGAGCAGGATCACGACACAAGGAAGCTACTCAAGTTCTAAATTTGGGATGAAAAACAGTGTGAACCATACCAGAGAGTCGTATATAAAATACCTTGCAGAGAACAAGGACAAGTAAGCTTCCTTCCTCACCATTTAGCCATATAACTGACATAGCAGCTATCGTCTAAACTTTCAAATAAATTAAAGTAAGAGGGGTTTTGGGGTTTTGGGGTTTTGGGG